CAGGAATGAGGGGAACAACAGAAGAGGTGACAGCAAGGCCAGCAAGTTCAGTTGAAGAGCAAAGAGCTTAGCTTGGCTGACTATTTTGGGGATGAGTGAATCAGCTATAATATGTGAGCCCTGCAAGGCATGGTGATGAGCAGGAGCATACGGAGTGGGGAGGGGATATAGTTAGAAGAGTATTGGTGATAGCACAATAGTCTTTCTCACAACGTGATTTATTAGACTGTGATAGTGTCTTTCAAGTTAAGTGGCAGATGCCTTATCATATGGAACATTTAATGCAAGATGAGAGCACTTTTATTGTAGGAAATGGTTCTTTATCTGCAAGGGAGGCCCTGGACAAGCTGGACCAGGTTGGTCTCTCTGGTTCTGTTACTACCCTGGCTTTCATAATGCTCTCAGTCAGAAAGAGAGCTTTTAAATCATTTTTTTATGAGGTGCCTAATCGACTCATCATCCCTGCCTCCCATGTGCACGCACATTTGCTCTGCCCTGAAATGCTAGCTAAACAAGGCTGGAGAGAAATGTTTTCTGAACGTAGCTGAGGAGGGAGAAAGCTGAAGAGGGTGAAAGGGGAGCAAATTCATGACTTTTTTTTAAAACAGAAGATTGTAAGCCACTAAAAAATACATTAAAAACCATAAAAGAAGTTGTCTGTGGTTTCTTAAGCCAGTTTATATTCCTGGAACTTAATGAGGCCCTGGTTTATTGTTTTTTTTAGATATCCTTCCATTTTTTTAAGGTAGTTTGTTTGTAGTGCGGGCATGTGTGGGTAGAGAACTGGGGAATATGCTGAGGGGAGAAAAAAGCTAAAAATGGTCAGCAGAGGCAGAAAGTGGCTGACTGTATATGCAACTTTTTTTTTTTTTTTTTAAAGAACTCAGAGCTGTTAAAGATTTGGGGATGCAGAGGTGGAGCACTAGGCATGACAAAGGAAGTTGACTGCATGCAATACAGGGTATTCTGTGCTTCACTAAGCGTCTTGCCTCTGTGAGTATGTAAAGCTGTGTCTCACTTTGCAAAATAATGAGTCCAGACTTCTGATTTATGTCATTTGGAAGCTTCCTAGTTCTGTAGGGAGAAGAGATTCAACCAAGTAGTCTTAGACCAGCATACTAGAAAGGTGACGGAATGATGATCTCGCTGGTTTTGTATTAGTGCCACCAATAAATTAATTTCTTGTTGCTGTCCAATTTTGGTGTCATATCTTGTTTTGGCATTCTTGCTTGGAAAATAGTCATCTTGATGGAAGTATTTCTCTCTCTCTGTTACTTAGGCTTTTGCAGAGCTAAGCCTGAACGGTTTCCATGGGTTGCTGTTGCTTTAGTAGTAGTCCATCGAATCCAGAG